CAAAAAAAAAAAAAAAAAAAAAAGAATGAGCTCCAGATCAGAGGTTCATGCAGTGGGGGCCACTTTGGGGATGCCTGGGGAGGAGGCTCCTCAGAGAAGAGCAAGGGGCCCTCAGTGGTCTAGGGTCTGGGCCCCAGCATGTGTGAGAGAGTGACCTCCTCCCAGGGACACAGGCTGGACCTGGCTGAAATTCAGTTTCTGATTGACACAGTTTCTATGGTGCTCCTTTCCCCATTTCCCCCTAAAATTATTCCTTTTGGGATATTTTGTTTAGATGCCTTGTTTTTGACCCTTGGGACCCCCTTTACAGATGCCCAGAATTATGTGACTGCTGGTTCCTGTAGGTGTCCTGACCATCAGGTAAAGATCTTCCAGGGACAAGCCTGTCTTCCTTCTCAGCCTACCTAGTACATATCATAGCATGGCCTAGAATAATTGCCAGTGAAGATTTATTGAATGAATCTTAGAGGACATGAGCCTGAAACCTTCTGTGCTTCTGAGTAGAAAATGTCCCTTTTTACCTTCAAGGCTGGTTTCCAGAGAGAAGTAATTAAAATCCTACCTGTATTGTCCTTTCTTTTCTGGTAAGAGCGAACATTTGTGCAACATTAATGGAGAGTATGTCTGCAATCTCTATCAAACTCCCACCTGCACCTCCACTGTGACTTAATGATCTTACACTAGATCATCAGGTATGCACACGTGTGCAAAGACTGAGGGCCAAGTGTGCTCTCTGCCTCATTACTTGTGACAGGATGAAACAGCAACCAAGCAGAAGGCAACTCAGGCTCATTAATAAGAGAAGTGGTGAGATAGATTATAATGCACACACAAACGGAATATTGAGAAATTATAAACGATTGCATTTCTGTTCACTTCATGTTGTGTAGACATGCATAAGAACCACTGCTGAGTGGGACATGCGTGAGGACCAATGATGAGTGGGACACGCGTGAGGACCAATGCTGAGTGGGACGCGCGTGAGAATCATTGCTAGGTGGTCCTTACCAGGTGCTGAGCATGCACACGGTGTGACACAGAGGACGTGAAAAAGCACAGGCACATATGGGATCATATGCTGTAAATACACACATGCCCACAAGCTATCATAAATGCATTAAACACACATGGTCACACACTATCTTATGATATACATACATGTGCCCACACACCCACACACACCACCTTATATGCCATATACACATGTACCCACACACTACCATATGTGCCATATACACGTGCCCACACGCTATCATATATGCCATATACACGTGCCCACACGCTATCATATATACCATATACACGTGCCCACACACTGTTATATGCTATGTACACACATGCCCACATACTACCCTATATGCTGTATACACATCTGCCCACACACTATCATAAATGCCATATATATGTGTGCTCAGATAATTTCCAGTGGGATTCACAGGACATTCACACTGTTACCCCAGGGAATAGGACAAAAGAAACAGACTTTCATGTTTTATTTTATACTATTCTGTTTGACATTTTAAATAGCACTTAGTTTCATAAGAAATGTAAAAACGTTTTCTAAAACTTACCTGTATGGGGAAACATGGGTTTTGGTTCTCACAGGTCACCTGGCAGTCAGCCCCTCCTGCGAAGGCAGCCTTGCTGGTGCTCTGCGGTGTGAACGCGATGTCATGGTCGATATATTGTCCCCATGCTATCAGGAGGTCGGAATAGTGGTCATCGTCTGTGACAACCTCGTTTGAAACTTGAATGACCTGTCGTGTCACCTCCCGGACCTGCATGGGAAGAGGCCATGGGTCAGGACCTAGGAGGGCCCTACTGTAGCAGAAAGATGACCCTTTGGGATCACGTGCTTCCTGGTGTGGTTCTTGTCCACAGAACTGCAGGTGCTCCTAGGAGAGCTGTACTCTGGAGTTAGGGCAGGTGGGGCATGAACTTTGAATACAGACACCCTGGGCTCGAATCCCTGCCCTGATTTGTGGTGGCTTGAGGGCCTGGCATTGACTTCCCTCAGTCCTCATTTCCTCATCTGTAAATTAATACGGAAAGGTTGAGCTTTCAGGGTTGTTGTGGGATTAAGTGAAGAGTCATTTACGAAACAGCCAGGCTTCGGGATGGTTGACTCCATGCTGCAGAGGGCAGAGCCTCCAGCCACAGGCCCTGAAACCTGAGGGAGTTTGCCTGGTTGGATTTCCACATGGGGCAGGAGCTGGGACCCCCTTTCCCTTCTCCACCCACACATCTGTTGCTGTTATGTTTGAGGCCATTCTGCCAGGGCATCTGGAGAGCAGACAGCTGGCTTCCCCATCTCACAGGTTAGGTCCAGATGGAGAGGAATCTGTTCTGGATGGATCTTACCCTGAGCCTCTCCTATCTGATGTGGATGATTTCCATGATGAGATTTGGATTGGGTTTTGGACCTAGAGTTGGTGCTATAATGGGATGGGATTTGGGGGAGTCTTGGGATGACATGAGCTTGTTATGCTTGTGGACTAGGTGTGAATCTTGGAGGGTCAGTGGGTCAGAAAAATGCCTTCCACCACCCACTCGCTAATCCTTGGAGCCTGCAGATGCAATTACATTAAGGGCCTTGAGACGAGGAGATTGTCCTGGGTCTCCATGAGTGTCCAATCTAGTCACGTGGGTCCTTAAAGTTGGAGGCCCTCTCCTGACACAGAGACAGACAACGTTGCTGGCTTTGAAGGGGGGGCCATGAGCCAGGGGCTGTGGGCAGTTCCAGAAGCTGGAAATCTCCAGGAAAGGGATTCTCCCCTGAAGGCCCCAGAAGGAACCAGCCTTGTGACGCCTTGATTTGGGCCCAGCGAGACATCAGACACTGACCACGAAACTGGAAGAGGATGTTAGGTTGGTTTCTGCCACTAAAGTTGGAGTAATTTGTCACAGCTCAGTAGGAAACGAACACAATTTATATTTAAGGACTTGAACTCTGATTTTTCTCAGTAGTGAAATAATTCTTAGCAAACATGGGTTTATAGAATCACAGTCTTATAATACTGAGAGTTCAGAAGCTTCAGGGATTGGACTGCTCTACTGTTGAGCCTGGGGTGGGTAAGACAGTCTTATCCCATTTTAGGGATTGTCCAACTGAGGCCAAGAAGGCAAGTTACTCACAGAGAGTCCTTGCGAGCAGAGCGTGAGCCCAGTGAACCCAATCGCCCCGGCCCTGCTGCTGGGAGCACCAAGCTGCCCTCAGCGACTCAGCCTCCAGCTCTTTCCAGGGCTGCTCACAGCTTCTGGGAACACTGAGTCCTATTCCTATGCTGGCTTTCATAGGAGAACTCTGCGCTGGTGTGTCTGTCCACGGTTGGTCTGAGTCAGACCTGAGTCCTACCACCTGCATTCTTTGGGCTGAACAGAACATCCACTGCAGTATTTCTGGATAATCTCATCACTGAACATGCACAAGAGCAACCAGACTGAACTGAATAGTTAAACTGCAAGCAAAATGACCCATTTGCTGACCAAAGAGACCAGTCGATTCTACTAGGCTATGACTATTCAGCAAATAAATTCACCTCTGGGAGCAAAGTGATTATCTTTACATAAATGAGTGTATTGATGAACTAATAATCATCTTTGGGTGTACCTAGGCCACGTGATGAATAAAGGCACTTACCTGAAAGCACTGAAGTGATTTTCAGGAGACAAATGCGAGGGTTGAGAAAACCTAATTTAAATCTGCAGGGCTCCACTCACTAAGAGATTTTAGTCTGCCTGAGCCTTGGCTCCTAAGCCACAGGGCAGAGACAGCGATAGCTACATCACAGGGAGGCTGGGGGGATCTGAAGGAACTGCACGTGACACCCAGCACGAGCAAGAGCCCAGTAAGAGGCTACTGCCCTCCCTCAGCATCACAGAGCCCAGTCTTAGTCCAGGGTAGCAGCATCCGAGTACCCACCGGGGGCAAGGGGAACCCGTTGTGTAAGAAGCCAGCATTCCAGCCTCGGGGCTGACTGAAGCCATCCTCGTAGACTGGAGGGAGCCATCGAGCCAGGGCTGTGTTGGAGGCTCCCCATCTGGGGTGGTCTCTGCAGAGACAAACACATGGATGTGTTTGAGACGGGGGAGCAGAACACAGAAGCAGTGAGTCCCAGATACAAGGTGCCATTCTCAGGGAGAGTAAGTGGGGTCTCTCAGGAGGCCCAAGGGGCACAGCTCCCCAGAAGACCCGAAAGGCTTCCTGGAGGCCCAGGTCATGGCTGGCTTCAAGGGAGCTCATCCCAGAGCCTCGCTTCCCACAGGCACCCACTCCTGGGCTGGGCACATGCTGCCTGGAGTGGCTGCCTGCAGGGTGCCTTCCCACTCCCTTTCAGGAAAGTTTCTCCTACTGTTTTCCCAAGGAGGGTCTCCCACCCTTCTAGAATGTACCAGGGGCAGTTCTCTGGAGGACAGAAGCTTCTGGTACTCCAAACAAAGAGGTCATTTGAAATCCTGTGGCATCAAATATCCTTTAATCAAAGCACCATGAAGCCACCAGGTATCCCGCCTGTGCTGGCCCTGTGCAAGCGTCCAGACGAACTTGCCGGAACTGAGGAATCGCTGGAGTTTTCTGACTTCAGAAGCGAGATGGTTGTCAAAGGAATCATTAATACATGAATTTGAAATAAAAATAAAATAAGTAAAATAAGTTAAAAATAGAGAGAGGGAGAGAAAGCTGCAGTTGGCTGTTTGGTGTGGTGACGAGAATGGATTCGGCCAACGGGGTGGGTGGTGACGTTTCCCATGAGTAGGGTCACCTGCACTGTCGTCCTGGTGGTCAAAATATATTCTGGCAAAAATGTATTGGATACATTATAAGGTAAATGTGTGTTGAATATTTTGATTTCACACCTACTCACGAGTGTGCTGTGTTAAGCAAGGTTCCCCTCCGTGGGAGGGGTGCAGGCGCAATTGACAGTCACTTGATATGTCTTGGAGCATTCTATAGAAATTGAGAAAATAAAAGACTAAAGATTGGTAACTAATCCTTGTACAAATCAGGTATTTTCCAATATTTTGTTTAAAAATTTGGAGGACACTGTTATTGAATTTTTTGCCAATACATGAATAAAAATAATTTTAATGATAGCTCATTATCTGTTCATTTTCTTCGGTATCTCAGAAGGAGTTTTGAGGGCCAGATGGCATTCCTGTGAGAAAGCTTTTCCCAGCGACCAGTCACAGGTTTCTAGGCACCCTCCACCTGCAAAGGTAAGAGTCATCGCAGGGTTGCTGCCAAACTCTCTCATCTACAGCGGGTAGGGCAAGCGTGTAATTCCAAACCCGAGTGGAATGCTTTTGAGGAGACAGGAGCACTAGATATTGATAATTTTGCTAGGATAGAAGGCATAAAAAGGAAATGTCTCAGGTAACCAGGATGCACGGCCCCTTGGCCAACAGGTGACGGTCACAAAGTGATGAAGGAACTAACAAATTCCACCCATCTCATCAACAAACTAATTCCAATGAATATTTATCTCTATGCATAAAAATTATCAACATTTGCCATATATCCATGCTGATTAAATAGCGTTCCAACAACGTGTAAAAAATAACTCAATCTTGAAGAAAACGATGAACACTGAGACCATTGTGCTCACTGAAGAGTCTAAATATGAAATTTAAATTCATAACAGATATAAAAACGTAACATACAAAATAACAAATTCAAATATATACATGCATGATAAGACTATATGAATGTGAATATGTAAACGAATGTACCAAATATATAACATGAACACAAATATCTGTAGAGCATAGTAAAGAAATATGTGAAAAATATTAAAAATAAAGGACTTTCAAGGATAAAATATTTTAAATTTGGAAGAAAATGGCTCAATTTACAAGGCATAAATTATTCTGGATTTGGAAGAAAATATGAGGGGATTAGAATATAAAAAATCAATTCAAAGAGCAAAAAAAAAAAGGATTTTTTGTTGTAATACAGCAGGCTCCTTTGTTATAGTTTGGTTTGGTCTAACATGGTCAGAATATAAGTATTCAAAACTTAGTTGTTTTGTCTCTAAATTACCATCACCTTTATGCTTATAACATAACAGTCATTCGTATTAAAATGACTGATTTTTTTGGAATGCCCTTGCTGAGATGAGAGGTCAATTCAGATGATCAGGGGACTGAGAGTTTTATTTTTGGTTTACAACACAAACAAACACACAGACACAGACACACACACACACACAGACACACGCACCTTGGTTGCCACCTCATATGTTGCACAAAACATTAAATGAGATGGATCACAGACATAAATGTGACATGCAAACAGTAATGTTTTCCAGAGAAAACACAAGAAAAATATCTTCACATCCTTCAGAGAAAGCAAGATTCTTAAACACAACAAAAGAAGTTTTCTTGACGTGAAATAAGCAATTGATAAATGGGACTTCATTAAAAATATAAACAACTTTTCTTTAAAAGACAGCACAGAGAGTGAAAAGGCCAATCTCAGCTGGGAGAAGATATTTGTAAAATATATTTCTCACTAAAGACGTATTTAGAAAATATGAGCATCTATAAATCAAAAAGGGCCCATTAAAAAATGGAAAAAATATTTCAGCTGGCACATCCCCAAAAGGGTCTCCAAATGGCCAATGAATGTATTTTAAAAGTAATCAGGATAATTAGTCATCAGGAAAATGTAAAGTTAAACCACAGGAAATGCCACCTTCCCCTCTTAAATGAAAGGGCTCACAGTGACAGGGATTGGTGAGGGCTGTGGGGCTCTTACCCTTTGCTCCTGGGAATGTGGATTGGAGCAGCCACTGGCAGCACTGACCAGTGCTCAGCAGAGAGGCGCCCATGCCTCCCCTGTCTACCTCAGCAAGCCAGGAGCAACTAACGTCCACGGTGAGTGGAGGTGGAGAAGCCAGGCCCAGTAATTACTATCTAACTTCCTTCCTAGAAAAGCCAGCTCAGGAAACACCAGCTATGGTGATGAAGATCAAAACAGTGGTCACCTCTGGGGAGGCCTCAAAATCTGGGAGGGGCCAGAAGGCAGCCTCTGGGGTGTAAAGTCCTCCATCCGCATCTGGGGGTGCAGGCCCTTGGGAGACTCGGCTACCTGTGCCTCCAGATTCGCCCCCGGCCCTGAGTAAGCTGTACCCCAATTGAACAGTAGGAATCCACCCACAGCCACTATGGCGGCGATGGGTTCTATCCACTGCGCCACTTTTGTGAGACATAGTACTTTACCGCAGTAGTTCCTCAGATCAAAACTCAATTTTTGTTTGTTTGTTTGTTTTAGAGATGAGGTCTTGCCTTGTTGCCCAGGTTGGTCTTGAGTTCCTGGGCTCAAGTGATCCCCCAACTTCAGCCTCCCAAAGTGCTGGGATTACAGGCATGAGCCACCATGCCCAGCAGGAAATAATGCAATTTTTCAAAGATAAATTACACCTCGTCAAGGATCAAGACTCACAGAATCTTTGAAGAAAAGGGCTTCAAAGGTGGACATTATTTACATAAACAGTTGCTGACTTTGAAGCATTATTGCTCCCAAGTATTTCTGCTGCCATGATTTCACTTCAGCCTCATGACAGCTCTGTGAACAAGCATCACTATCTTTGCCATTTTCCAGATGCAGAGAATTGGAGAATCAAAGACATGAACTCTAAGCGGCTTATAACTGGCAGAGTGGTGGCTGGAATTTCGTGTTCTATTTCAGAATAGGATGGCTTTTCCATTATGCACGGGAATGTGAGCACTTTCTCAAGAACACACAGAGAAGTTTTATCACATACATCACATATACATAATCAGTATCACATATATCAACATAAAGCTGAAGGCAAATTCTACATAAAGAATCTAGGTGAATTAATAATATTTATCATATAAATATTATACTATCACATATATTTGTATTTATGCATAATCATCTGTAATACACTGTCTAACATTGCATGTGATAAGACAGTCCACTGCTTTAAGAGTACAGAGCAAACAGTGGCTTGTGGCACCTTTGTTTTCTAGATACTGTGTCACACAGATCTCTACAATGACCCCACTGCCTCTGGAGGCCTGGCCACGAGTGATTCCACCCTGACTGCAGCTGTTTCCAGCAGCTGAGAGGCTTCAGTCCTTCAGTAGCCCTCCCCTACTTCATCTGTATTAGTCTGTTGTCATACTGCTGATAAAGATGAACCCAAGACTGGGAAGAAAAGAGGTTTAATGGACTTATGGTTCCATGTGGCTGGGGAGGCCTCACAGTCATGGTGGAAGGCAAGGAGGAGCAGGTCACATCTTACATGGATGGCAGAGGGCAGGAAGAGAGCTTGCGCAGGGGAACTCCCCCGTATAAAACTGTCAGATCTCCTGAGACTCACCATCATGAGACAGCACAGGAAAGACCCGCCCCCATGATTCATTTACCTCCCACCAGGTCCCTCCCACAAACCCACAGGAATTCAAATGAGATTTGGGTGGGGACACAGCTGGCTATATCAGCATCCCACCCTGGAGCACTTGATTTTTAAAATAGAATTTATCTTATCTCTAGGCTGACGCCAAGCACACACTGAAACCCAAATTTCTGCAGGATATTCTCAGGCCCTGGGGATTCTGTTCTCCGCCGACGCTGGCTGGATGCTTCTCGCAAGGGGAACCTGCGAGCGACATGAGCCCTGCCCAGGTCCACCTGGTCTTCCACAAAAACACACAGGCGGGGAACAGCGGCCTCAGGTGGCTGGGAGTGCAGGAGAGGCAAGATCCTGGATCTGAGGCCAGGATGATGAAGAGGTTTCCCCAGGTTGGTAACAGAAACAGAAAGAAGCTGGAAATCCTTTAAATGATACCAGCAAAACACCTTCATCCCAAACGCACAACTATCAACAGCATTCCTTTGCATATAAAGCTTTGGCTTTATACTCAGAGAGTCAAAAAAATTTTAAAGGACAAGTTTGCTATGTATGCACATGCACTCATGTGTTAAAAAATAGGGGCTTATACAAAGACCTGATAATTTCCTTTAGGACAAAGTGAAAAGAAAAAAAGACTCAAAATTTATAAGAAGCCTGCTCCATTCCCTGTCAACAAGGTGCCTCCTGCAGCACTCACCACGTTATACAAACAAGAAGGAGCCTGCCCCATTTTCTTCCAACACTGTAGCTCCTGCAGCACTGACCACATTAAACAAACAAAAAATCCCGGTGAAATGGAGAAAAAAAATCATTTTTCCCACTACTTATTGAGTAATTTATGTGATATGTCTTAGGCAATTAGGAAAATACCAACAAAGGAAAAACCAACCTTAGAAACCCATCATCCATTTATGACATGTGTAAATTACACCGTAAAGCAAGAAAACCAGTAGAGATGAATGAGTTTTAAAAATCCACCATTTATACATTTAGAATTTCAAAAGTTAATTCCAAGTAACATTTGTCTTAAAGATGCCATTGCAGCCAACACCCAAGGTCGCTTGCAAATACAGCACAGTGGTGGCAGTGGCCGGGGCCGGACCAGAAATGACCTTTAGGAAGGAACAAGAGAGCAGGGAAAGAAAACATTGTGCAGCCAAGTTAGATCAAAAAGAAAGACAGTAACAAAACAAAATCCAAACGCAGTAAGAAAGAAACGTGTGAAATTTTAGACAATAAAAGGGAAACACAAAATCGTGGAAATGATTAATATGAGATTTAATTACTCAAAACCTTTTGAGGAATGTTGACCATTGATGAGCCTCACACATAAAAATCCTAACTCACTGCAGATGACCAACGTGCCCTTCACAATTGGAAGAAAAATGCATCATCTGACCCAGCAATGATACAGAAGCAAAGCTTTGTCACCAGAATTAAGCAAAAGGAATATACATTCTCTAAGTTAAAAACAATGTGTCAGAAACAATTGTCTTAATTCTTTAATCCCATATGTGAAAAACCAAAGCAAACCTAAACAAAGCAAATGGGAAACATGTTGACTGGAAGTTGCAACAGCGATTCTAAAATGTATTCGGATTTTTAGGATCACGTAAAGAAGCCCATGTAGTCATATGTCCTATAAGACACACACCATCAGGACAGCTCTGTGGTGATGTGCTGAGAATATTGCCTAGGGACCTCCTGCATGGAGTGTGAAGCTGAAAATTTCCCCCAAGGTAGCCGGCACACTAGTCAAGAAACGATAAACACAACCAAACCCAGGCCAGAGAGCTGCTGCCATGCAAGGGCACGGTCACAGTCTCTCCGGGTGCCCGGAGAGGCCAGAGCACCTCTCCTGGGGCAGGAAGGGTCCTAGTGAGTCCGCACCAGCCCAGGCAAGGATGGGAAGGTGTGGGTGGGCACTCAGGGGCTGGTCACCGAGAGGGACGCTGAAGAAGCTTAGGAAGCCACTGGAGGGGAAGTTAGCAATTTAGTGAGCATGGGGGAAGTTCTGGGAACTCAGGGCTGATGAAGGCAAAAGATAGGACCGGGGGAGGCAGAGAGGCACACACACCTTTGGGGTGGTTCTTGGGCACAGGTGCAGAAGAGGGGGCATTCTTCAAGGCAGGGGCCATCCAGAGGCTAAGGCAAGGGACCACCACCCAGATGTGTGGCAAGGAACTCACGGTGGGGTATCAGAGGGTCTCCATGTCTGCTGATTACTCGGCAACATGGTGAGGTAGAGGGGGAGTCTCTGGGCAGAGGCAGCAGTGACCGGGGTCTGATGACCGGGAGGCTCTGTCTTACCAGTGCCGGGAGAGGTTTTGTGGAACATGCAAAGAGGTCGGCTCCATGTGGCTAAAAGTCTGCTTGTCTGGGCCATTTTTATCTCAATTGGACATGTATAAATTTGAGCTTGGTCCTGGTGGGTTTTGGCACTAACAGGTCTCAGCATGCAAAGAAAAAATGAACCACCCAAGACTTGCCAATGCCATCTGCTGTGAGACTTGTTAACACTGTCTGCTGTTTAGAGGTGTTGAACACATTCAGGAAGTATGAAGACCCCCTGATTCTTAAGATAATCGTGCTTAGGAATGCAGAATTCAATGTTTTATATTTCTTTAATAAAATCACAAGTATGTGGAAGAGAAAAGCAAACAACACCCGAAACCCATTCAGAGAGCAGCCCCACGTCCACACCTTCACCACCACCATCCCAGGAGTCCCCAGCCTCAACATGCACCTGCAGGTTAGAGCCTGCTCTGCTCTGCTGAAGACCTTGCTCCTCCCGTGTAGTCCAAGCCATCGTCACTCTGGCCTCTGGCTCAACAATGCACCTACCTCATCCCCTCCTCCACCCTGCCCCTCCGGCCCCACCCCTCCTCCACCCAGCCCAGTCCCTCCCGCCCCACCCCTCCTCCACCCAGCCCAGTCCCTCCAGCCCCACCCCTCCTCCACCCAGCCCAGTCCCTCCGGCCCCACCCCTCCTCCACCGGGACGTGGTCTCTCCAGCCATGCATCCCACCAGACATCTCAGTGTCCTGTACTCCCAGGCATCACCTCCTTCTGTGCATCCTTTGTCTACACCTGTGTCTCCCACTGAGCTCTGAGGACAGGAGACGTGCCATCTCCAGCTCTGAGCCCACTTTCCCGGGTAAGCGCAGACCTCCCAGGCTTCGGGGCAGGAGGGGTGGACAGCAGGCTACTGTGTGGTCCGCGTTCAGCATGGGCTGCCTCTTACAGCTGGGGCTCCACGGTCCTAAGATCTGGTCCTTACATGTGGCCAGGTTATGCGTTCCTGCCTTGGGTCTACACACAAGCTCCTACAGCTCAGAGAATGGAAACAAACTGCCCTCTGACAGGTGGCGATTCCAGTTTTCAAATCCAGGGCCATCCAGTTACAAAGCTGCTGTTCTTAACCACCATCAAACACCCAGGACTCCGATTCCTGTCCATTGTACCAAGGCCCCTGCACTCTGTCTCAGGACACTGCCGGTCCAGGCCAGAGCTCTGCCCGGGTCCTGCTGATTCCTCTCTCAGGGGAGGGAGATGTCTCCCTTCTGACCTCAGCACACCCAGCAGCCAGGAGCGGGAGTCCCCTCGAGGAGCTCCTCCATGCTAAGCAACTTTGCTGTGTGCGTCGGTGAATGCCAAGCCCGCAGTCACCCTGGTGCCGCAAGATTCTCACAAAGCTTCTAGGTGATCCCAGGGTGCACTGCTTCCCCAGGCCCCACAGGAGCCACAACCCCAGCTGCTCTCCCCCACCCCTCTGTGTGCCAAAGGCAGTGTGTTTCAGCCCAAACATGTCCAGCTCTTTCCCACCTTTGCAAAGCCGTCTCCCCTACTCTGTGGGCCATTTGGGAAATCCCCACTCATCCTTTAAGATTTGCCTGACTCCCATAGCACCATCTTCAGAAAACCATTCTGAATCCCAGACTGAATCCCACGCCTCTGTGTGTAGCCAGAGCTCCTGTCTACCTGCTGCCACTGTGGACCCAAGGAGGTGGGCGGATCTGAACTCACTCCGGGTGCAGTGGGGACTGAGGGAGGGCGTAGAGAAGGAGGGTGCTGCGATGGTGTGGGTCTCGACAGGAAGCGTGAAGGAGGAAAGCAAGAGTTAAATCAGGAGAACCAGGGAGGGGACCACCGCAGGATGGCGGCTGGCTGATTATTTCAGCTTCGCCTTAGGTGGCAAGGAGTGGAGAGGACTCATTTTGGAGGTAAAAGGGACAGTCTTAGACATGCATTGGAGACAATGGGTATGGGAGTTACTGGAATCAAGGATGGTGCTTAAGCATGTATTAGGCGAACGGTGGTAGAATTTGTAGGTTTAGGAGGTTAAGTGAACGGCGGTGGCATTTATGGGTTTAGGAAGTTCAGAGTGCCCTATAAGCCTCTATGTGGATGGGCATTGTGGCCGGAATGACTGCTGCTCGGCACGCTGATGAGGCACCCCCAGGCCTGCAGCGGGCGGCGTCGGGGAGTCCCAGGGCAGGAATGGGGTGCTCAGGGCTGGGCGCTGATCCACCCGTGGAGGCAGAGGCTCCTTCATGATGGCATCTAGTCATGTTCAGAGCCAACGTTCACAGGAAGGTTAAGAAAATCACAATACCTGTTGTTGCAGGCTCCTGTGATGAGTCTGTATTTGTTGGCCAGGCAAGTGTTTGGGCATTTTGGTGGCAGCATGTACGGCAGGCATCCGGACACATTTGCGACAATGCTCAGCAGATCTTCTGATAAAGCATCTGTGAAAAACAGTAAACCATGAAGTCTGTGCTTGGAATCACAAATCCACCTAGCAAATATTCTACTGCAGTCTCAAAAACGGCTCCAGCACCTGAATTTTGGATTCATATGTAACTGGGGTCACTGTTTTTTTTTAAAAAAAAATCTGCTTTCTCCCTTTACATCAAGTGCTCACTCATTTAATTCCCTTGAGCTTCCTTATTGCTAGAAACATGGGGTTTTTTAATTTTTATTTTGCTCTGTGATCTTTCAGAAAAGCAATCTAAGAGCTCTCAGTCCCCAGGGGCATAAGCCAGCTACCATCATCCCTCACTGAGCACGTCTCCCGAGCTCACTCATCACAATTGCACAGTCAGGCACATGTGCCTAGTAATGGCCCCAGTGCTTTAGAAGAGAGCAAAGAGTAGAATTTATCCCATACCCCAAGGTAGAAAAACCTTGTCTTGATGAAGATGGTGCACCTATCTATCAAATCTTTCATTTCTCCTTTGTATTGATTTTTGGTTCCCTTGTAAATCTTTCCAGATGAGATGAGAGCCCAGAAAAAAATTTCCTGTTTTGTTTGTTTGTTTGGTCAGCTCTGTCACTGTAATTTATACGTTATTCAAATGAAAGTGAGAGTGGCTTTGTTGTCCATTAACAGAGGTGATCATCGATTACTTCTCCGAGATGCTTTATGTAAATCTTTGATGACAATGCCACAAAACTTTGATTAACCAGATACCAGTGACATTGAGATATTCAACAGAAAAAAATGCCAGGAAGGAATGCATTACATTTGCAGATATGAGAGAAACAAGCTAGTCTTTCAGTCATGAATGCTCACTAGCAATGCAATGCGAAGGGCTCTGTGGGGACAGTTAGGCAAACCCTGGGGCTGCAGTGAGCATTCAGTTAGGGGAGGATCAGCCTTCCTCGAAAAGCCAAGCACAGGTTCTTCGCGACAGGGAAGTCCTTGAGCAGGTGCATGCAGACAACAAATCTTGTGCAATAGAAAAGAATCACCAGGTCACAGTCACGTAATCAGACTAACATGAAGGAATAGTCTAGAAGGAGAGGCACTGCCATTTCATGGAGTCATTGCTTGGTGATGAAGTAACGGGGAGCATTTTTACGTTCCTTGCATTCTAAATTTTCTAGATTGGCTATGCTTACAACGAAATCATTTTACAACATTCTAAATTATGGAGTCCTTAAGTTCTCCATGATAGCCTGCTCCCCTAAACATCTGTCTCTACAGACCCAGCAACGGGCAAGTGTCTCTAAAACGGGGACAGGAATGACCCACATCTTCTGACGCCAGGAGCTGCCATTTCCATAGGGGGCCTGGCGGGACCCGTGACAGGACTGTGGACCAAAAGTTCTTGAAAGCATCACTCAGCCACATGTTTGAAAGAAAAGGCATTTCAAATGAATCTAAGGTTGCCATTAAATTAATTAAACTTCACTGTTAAGTTTAGGATTTGAGAATTCTGGTTAGTACTGGTTTAGCCAAGTTTGTCTTATTCTAAAAGCTAAGCACACCAGCACTGAATTGATTTATAGCTAGTTAGAAGGAGGAACTCAGAGGCCAAGTAGCTCATGACACTGCACAGAAAATAATCTTGATTAATTAATTAAAAAGACATTTCGCTTCCTTGCTCCCCATCACAGGAACCACAAATATGCCTTTTGACTGCCTGTGTTACCAGCTCAGTATCTTATGCCCATAGAATGCTTTCTAAACAGATAAGGAAATGCTGACATTTGCTTCTGGCTTATGCGCTGGCCTTCTGATAGCCATCAGAGTGAGCAGAGCTACTGTCCTCACCTTAGAGATGAGTAGATTGGCTCTCCAAGGTCCTGGGGAGCTCCGCTAAGGCAACAGCAACTCAGTGGGAAGATGGGGCTTCCCACAACACGCTGCCTCACACGGCAGGTCCTCTCGTCGAAGAGGGTTTATGAAGGAGCTTGCCAAGTTTTAACTAGGAGGAAGGCTATGGGAGTATTCCTAAATTATTTTCTACCATAAATGGATGTTTAGCTTATTGAGCTAATTTTCAAATTTGATTTGAATAGGAGAGAAATAGCTATTTTTCAGAATAACAAAAATAAGATATGGAGACTGTTTGGTAAGCATTTTTAAAAATTCCAGGTTTTGTGCTTTGAAAAAGCTGGAGTCCCAGCCTGCTTGGCCTCAGGTGAAAAACACGCTCTGAACAAGCAAGCCCTGGACAAAGTCACGGTGTCCTCCCTCAGGAGTGCCCTTCTAGTGTGGAGATGGGCATGCATTACCAGTGGAGTGCTGTGACTACTGAGTTTTAGGGAGAGATGCACGCATTACCAGGAGCACCCTTCTAGTGGGGAGATGGGCACACATTAGCAGTGGGGTACTGTGACTGCTGAGTTTTGGGGAGAG